GTATTCTGATGGGTGGGTGGTGGAATTAATTTTTCAGATGAAGTCATTTAGAATTGAATTCATTTAATGAGGAAATGCATTGTATCATTGTGTTGCTGTTCAGGGCGAAACTCTCAAAGTCGTTTATTTTTAATTGTATCATAACTGGCGATGTTTTTAGTGATTTTTAACCTGCAGATCTGTTCAGTTACTCTGTTCAGCTTCTCCAGAATGGTCCTTTTTTAAACTCTTGAATTTAATGTGAGATTTTGGTGTGTGTGGATTGTGAGCCACTGAATTCATTCCAGTTTTTTAAAATTTATTAACAGTACTTGCTTTGATTTCTATCTATCGTTTGACGGGTCTGTTTACATTCCACATTTTGCATATGAGCTCTATATTAACATTACACAATAAAATCAAACCTGTGAAGCTGGGGTAATAAAACTGTTTGATTAAATGACTCGATTTGATATCATTTTTGAGCAAAGGCTTTAATACAGTGTCACCAAAAAGAGCGTCCATTTGTAAGACCTAATTGTTTCTTTTCTGAAATTGTAACAACTTTTTATTCCTAATTGAATTCACAAACAATTGATTTGGCTTTTTTTTAAAGGGGTCATATGATGCGATTTCAATTTTTCCTTTCTCTTTGGAGTGTTACAAGCTAAAGAAGATCTGTAAAGTTGCAAACACTAAAGTCTCAAAACCAAAGAGATATTCTTTATAAAAGTTAAGAGTTAACCACGCCTACCTAAAACGGCTCGTTCTAACACGCCCCCACATGTCTACGTCACGATGTGGGAAGATTTGCATAACGCCGCCCAAATGTTCACGCAAAGAAAGAAGGGTAACTTTTATTCTCACTGTAGTATTGTTGAAACTGCCGCCATGTCGTGGAGACGCTGTGTGCTTCGTTGTGAAAGCGAAACTACATCAACTTTCACCATGGACAAAGCGGAGTCCAGCCCGGGGTCGTCACATGTGGTTGCCGCAAGCCCTCCGGACGCTCCTTCGTCGAA